TTATTCCAATCTCATTTCAGACTGTATCTTATTCCAATCTCATTTCACACTGTATCTTATTACAATCCTATTTCACACTGTATCTTATTTCAATCCCATTTCACACTGTATCTTATTCCAATCCCATTTCATTTCAGATTTTATCTCTTTCCAATCCCATTTCACACTGTATCTTACTTCAATCTCATTTCAGACTGTATCTTAGTCCATTTCATTTCAGATTTTATCTTATTCCAATCTCATTTCACACTATCTCATTCCAATCCCATTTCACACTGTATCTTATTCCGATCTCATTTCAGGCTGTATCTTGTTCCAATCTCATTTCAGACTTTTATTTTATTCCAATTCCGTTTTAAATGGCTTTTATCACCTTTTAGTAATAATTTGTTTCTGGAACTCAGCACTTTGATACGGCCCAATAAAAGTTACTAAACAGGGCCCACTTAAAAAACCTTACAAAATTTTTTTCCCAAGGAGTGCCAGGCAGAGGGGAACATCTGGCTTAAGGCTGTTGCAAAACAGCTCCAGTCTTTTACCGCTGTTGTCATCCTTGACCTAAGACCCTCCCTCCCACGAAGGCCTTCAACAACCTGGAAAGTCTGATTTTCGGCAAAGGGTTCCAAGCAAAGGTCTTTCCTGAAAGTGAGTCAAATGCAGAAGGGAGCGGGGCTGCTGCTCGGGCCCTGAATGGATTATCCTGTTTTTTAACCTGGGTTTCCCCGCCTTTCCTCCTCCTCCTCTCCACTCCTGTCTACAGTTATTTCCTGTCTCCTGCTGGCGCTGTTTGCAGCTGGACTGATTCACCGAGTGTGTGTCACCACTTGGTAAGGACAGAGGTGGGCTGGGGGTGTGTTTGTGATTGAATGGTGGTGGTGGGGGAATTTATATTAATAAGGCCACAGTTGGAATATTGCATCCATTTTTCTGGTGGCCAAAAGATGTTGAGATTCCGGAAAGAGCTCAGAGAAGAACAACAAAGATGGTTTGAGGGTAAAATATACGAAGGATATTGCAGGAATTGGGGATGTCTAGTTTAATGAAAAGAAGGACGAAGGGCGGGAACATGGTAGCATCTTCCAATATTTGAGGGGCTGCCCCAAAGAAGAAGGGGTCAACTTTTATTCTCCAAAGCCCCTGAGGGCCAGAACAGGAAGCAACAGATGGAAACTAACTCTGGTGCCCCAAGGTGGGATACAAAAACACAGTCACAGAAAAAAAGGTAAAAGCCCTTTTTATTCCTTCGCTTTGCTTCCAAGCTCCAAATATCTTTGATGGAAGCAAAACAAGAACAAAAAACTCCTACACAAAACAGTTACAAGAAGGGGAAAAAGCAACACAAACCAGGCAAGATAAGGGCTGGGAGGACGTCCGCACGCTGGGAAGGGCACCAAACTCAGGAACCACAAACGAGAGATATTTCCACGCTTTGTTTCCAGCGTTCACCCCCATACGCAGGTCCGTCCCCTTATCCAGTTGTCACATCTGCAGCCCACGAAGAGGATCCATTCCCTGGAGGTTTCCAAGATGAGGCTGGGCCGCCGTTTGTCTGGAATGGTTTGGGGTTTCCTGGCTGAGCAGGGGGTTGGGCTAGATGACCTCCCAGGTCCCTTCCAGCTCCGTTCCGCTGTTAATCCAGACACAGATCCTCAAATCAAAACAATTCTGGGCTTAAGGGGGTGGTCTGAAATTTCAGCACGTCTGGGAAACCTGGCTGGCTTGAAATCTGGAGGAAAAAGCTATCTCGTGTTTTTTTTGGAAAGGCGGCTGAATCATATCAGCATAGCTTAACTCTTGACGGGAGAGCCGTACGCCTAAAGTCTTTAAAAAAAAAAGGCAGGAGTAGGGAGAACAAATATTTGGCCCGCTGTCTAAGGCAATTAAAAGAGTTTAAAAGAATCCCTCCAGGGATTAGGAATGTGAGCAAAAAAGGGGGAAAAAAGTCTAGGTTTTTTAAAAAATTATTTGAAAGGCCTCGTTGGGAGGAAGGGAAAAGGAGATGAAGAAAGAAAGATAAGCAGAGAGGGAAGAAGAGGGGGATAGATGGGAAGGGAGGAAGGAAGGGAGAAAGTTAAGCAGAGGGAAGATGGGAGGGAAAGAAGGAAGGGAGGAGAAAAATAAGGAGAGGGAGGGAGGGATAAATGGGAAGGAAGAAAAGGAAGGAGAAAGATAGGCAGAGGAAGGGAAGAATGGATAGGAAGGAAGAAAAGGAGAGGAAGGGAGGGAGGAAGGAAGGAAAAGAGATGAATAGATAGGAAGGAAGGAGGAAGATAAGCAAAGAGGGAGTGATAAATGGGAAGGAAGAAAAGGAAGGAGAAAGATAAGCAGAGGAAGGGAAGAGGAATGGATGGGAAGGAAGGAAGGAAGGGATAGATAGGAAGGAAGAAAAGCAGAGGAAGGAAGGAAGGAAGGAAAAGAGATGAAGAGAAAGGAAGGAAGGAGAAAGATAAGCAAAGAGGGATAAATGGGAAGGAAGAAAAGGAGATGGGAAGGAAGAAAAAGATAAAGGAATGGCAAAGGGAAAGAAAGGGAGAAAAAGAAAGGAAGGAGAAAAAAGACGGAAGAAAGGAAGGGAAGCAGGTAAAGAAGGAAACGAGGGAAGGAAGAGGAAGAAATGGAAGCAGAAGAAGAGGAAAAGGAGAGAAAAAGCAGAGGAAGGAAGGACAAAGGAAAAAAAAAAAGACAAGCAGGAAAACAAAGGAAGAGAAAGACAGGAAGGATGAAAAGCCAATAGGAAGGAACGAGAGTTGGAAGGGACCTTGGAGGTCCAGGAAAGAAGGACGGACGGACTCCTCTATCTATCTACCCACCTTCTATCCATCCTCGCCTTCTCTCAACCAAACGGACTTACTTCTCTCCTCGAGGGCCGATATGGGAGTCAGCCCGTTTAATTTTCAAGCCCTCCTTTTGCCTGCAGGACCGCAGATAGCAATCCTAAACCAGGGTTAACTTGGCGGCTGATCTCTCTCTCTCTCTTTCTCTCTCTCCCTACAGCTTAATCTTCTCCCTGGTTGCCCTCTACTACATCCAGAAGATCTCTTCCACCCTCTACCAAACGGCCACCCCGGTCTCCGTACCGGTGAAGACGGTCAGCAAAAACCGGAAGAGGAATTGACGACGGAACATCGGATCTCTCTCTCTCTCTCCGTTCTGGTTTCCATCAATGAATTTCAATAAAACCTCTCCCTCGGGGGATTTCGTTATATCTATATATCTATCTATATGTTTTCTGAGGTTCTCGCGGGTATTTGTATGTGGATCTTTGGTTATTCGGGTTTTCTCCCGCGTAAGATTGGCAGTATCTAGGCGACGTTTGGATGAAGTCTCATTCATCATCTTCAGGCTTGTGTCTTCGGCTCTGTCACTCGGAGAAGCACAGAGCTGAAGACACAAGCCTGAAGATGATGAATGAGACTTCATCGAAACGTTGCCTAGATACTGCCAATCTTACGCGGGAGAAAACCCGAATAACCAAAGATCCACATCTATATATATCTATATATACACAGCAAAAAAAACCAGCAACCAGACCGGTGTCGTCTTGCAGCTTTGAACCATTTGGTTTCTCATTGCAATCTTTTTTTTGTGAGCGCTTTGCAAATTTAATTATATCTCCCCAAGTGTTGGGAAGGCAATTTTTTTTAAAAAAAAAATTATCTGCAATCAGGGAGCGACTCCCTAGAAGATGGAAAACTGGAATAATTCGAACATTATTCTAGGGTTTTTTTTTTATATTGATCTCCTGGCCTATCCAGACTATCCAGGTTATTTTTCCCCCCCCTTGCGAGGTAGGCTCGATCGAGAGAACAAGGAACTGGCCCCGAATCGATCCCGGGAGATCTCCTAGATCAATATTTCTCAACTTTAGCCACTTTGAAATGGGTGGTTTTTATGTCCGAGAATTCCCCAAGCTGTGATTTTGGGAAGTTTGAAGTCCAAATAACTTAAAACATGCTGGCTGGGGGATTCTGGGAGTTGAAGTCTGTTCTGGCTGGGGGATTCTGGGAGTTGAAGTCCATTCTGGCTGGGGGATTCTGGGAGTTGAAGTCCGTTCTGGCTGGGGGATTCT